CACATGTGGAATATAAACCAACACATGGACAGAGAAAACTGTATTGTGGTTACCAGGGGCAATGGGGGTGGGGGGTGGGCACAAGGGGTGAAGGGAGACATATATATGGTGATGGACAAACAAAAATGTACAACCCAAAATTTCACAATGTTAAAAACTATTAAAACATCAATAAAAAAAAAAAAATCACTCTGGCCGCTGTGTGAAAAATAAAAGGAAAGAGCAGATGACTGGGGATTGGGAAGCCAGTTAGGAAATCATTGAAGTAGTCTAGGCAATAAATGATGATAGTTAAGATCAGAGAGTAGATGAATGGATTGCGGGGGCAGGCGGGGAAGAAGAGAGAGCTCTCAAGGATAGCCCTCATTTCTGAGGTAAGAGGTAGGTGAAACAGAGGTCAGATTATTGAGATGAGGTAGCAGATTTGGAGAAGAAATCAAGAACTAAATATTGAACATATTACGTTTGCAATGCCTTTCAATTTCTAAAATACAAGGAGGCAGGGGGTAAACAGGTCCAGAGATGAAAAGAGAATTGGGCTGTATTTATAAATCTGGGGCTCCAAATCCAATGCCTTACCATAGTATTCTTCTTTGCAAGAAGGAAAAGAAAAGTTCATAATGAATGTTACTGGCAGAAACAGGCAACATAAAATAAAACTGACAGTCCCTTAAATAACACATGGAAAATTTATTTCTGACTGAAAAAATGACAAAACAAATCTTTTTGTTGAAATTTAGATCTGAAAATTTTGAGCTATAGAAATTAGAGATGACTGAAATAAAAGCATAAAGAAAAACTTGCAATGGCAGAATCTGTAATTGGTAAAATTTCATACAAACAAAAAAAGATTATACTGATATTAAACTTGACAAATCTGACTCTAACAAATCTATATTGTTAAAAAATTCATATGATCCCACTGAAGAGCATTTCACTAATTTTTTTAATGGAAACATTTAGACACTACTCAACTGTACCACATACAAAAATTGGCCAAGAAATCAAACTGCAATGGAATCTTATCGAGTAATTATATTCTTCATAAAAATATAGAAAGGCAGACACAATTCTTTTTCAGTGATTTGCACATATTAAGTAACTTCAGAAAGTATCTCAGTTGTCCAAGTCATTAACATAGCGACTTACCATAGTTACCTTGCAGGTTATGAAGTATGTTTTGTAAAGGAAAGAAAATATCAAAACTCTGTGACAGCTGTCCTGATAGCGCCTCGGAGAAATAAGGAGACTTCACCTTTAGACATTTAAATCAAGCAAATAAAACAGTAAAGAGCTTCTCTTTCCTCTCTTAAAAACTTTGTCAGTAGAAACATTCTGCTAAGTATAAACCAGAGAGCTAATATAGTCTAAAGATTCTACAAGTTGGTTATATAAAGTGCAAAAATTGCAATATCAACCTTCCTATCACCTCAAAGTTGTAGGTTTTGGAATCACTGATTTTCTCTCTTAAGTATCACACCACTGGGTATTGGGTATACTTCACACTCCATATCTTCAGTAGGAAATAAACAGTTTTCTTCACAAGTAATTTAAAATCCTCACCTGCTCCCTTTCACTGAGCCTTTAACACCTCCCTCATCCCCATGAACCAAATGGTGTTGGTCTGGGCTTTGCCTGCTTTTGTTCAACACTTCACAAAACAGTCGATACACTCGTAATCTTTTCCCATTGACCAATTTCCAACCAAATATACACATTTCACTTATAAATTACAGTCATGTGCTGCGTATCGGCGTGTCTGTCAACTACAGACCACACATATGATGGTGGTCTCGTAAGATTAGCACCACATAGACTAGATGTGTAGTTGGCTATACCATCTAGGTTTGGGTAAGTACACTCTATGATGTTCACACAACGAAAACGCCTGACGCCACTTCTCAGAACGTATTCCCGTCGTTAAGTGACCCACGACTGTATAAATCTGGAAGAGGTTTTGGTTCCTCCAAACCTGGCATCAAATGGAGATTTTCCACACTGAGTGATTTTACCTTTTAGTAACTTTCTAAACCCTATGAAGTCATACCTCAAAGATGGTTTCACAATACCTCTGCCATACACCGTGTTATCGACACTAAAAGATTATCTGGCTAATTCAAGTTTTGCCTCTTTCTCTAATTTCTCCCGCTATAGTCCACCAATCTTTCAAAATTAAATCTTTAGGTTCCCCTAGTTCTAACTTCTTCTAAATTTCTTCTTTGTTTTTTGTTAATCTATCACAACTTTTCTCCTGAAACTTTTTTAAAATTTTACTCTTGTCTCTTCATTCACATCTTCCACCTTTTCCTGAGCAGTCTTCACTGGTCCCACCACCATTTCCTTCCTTTTACACTTTCACCTCAGGCCATGGGTCAGGGTTAGTATAAATCTTATGTGAATGTTTGATAACAAGTTTAGGGTTTTTTCAGGTTGATATCATGGAAAGAGGGGCAAGGAAGTTGCAGGTGTCTGTCAAAGGAATACTGAAACGATGTAGCATGGAATCTAACCTAGACAAGGAAGGAAGTGCAAACAGAAAGAACTAAAGGAGAGATCCTAATGGATGGGCAGGTCTACCTGATGTGGAAGAACTACTACAAAGGGTTGCTGTGACCCTGAAACGGATCAGTGAAATAGAGCCACTAATACTCACAACACCCCTGTAAGGTATAGTTCCCAAATATTTAACAGGCTAAACACTTTAGTAAATTGGTCCTAGAACTGTAAAGAGAAAGAAAACTTCCGCGCTCTAAAAATAAGCTGCTTTAACCACTATGCACTTTTCACTTAAATATAAACTAAAAACAGAAGGCTGAAATTCCAAAAGATGATTATTTTCCTTCAAAAAAGTCATACTAATCCAATATGCTAGGGCAGATCACTACATGAAACAGAAGATCCATATGAATAAAACGTCCTGCTTTTTTAAGAACATTTTATTTTCAAGAAAGTACAAATAGTCCCCTCCACAAATCCAACTTTCCTATCCTATCATTCAAAGAAATGGATTTAATATCAACTCTACTTCCGTCCAACTCACGTGCTCTTCTTACATGCTGCCACGGGCATATCACCCTACATACAAAACATCACTCACAGTTTCAGGTCCAGGGGAACTGGTAAACATTTTGCTTTTAGCAACAGACAAATACTTGCTTAAGTAGTAGTTAATTTCATGAATGTTAATCACATGTAAACGACTGGTTAAAAGATACAATTTGCATATAGCATTTAAACACACTTCCACAAGTTCAATCAAGTTTTTCACAACATTCTACTGGGAAAGCTCTGTTACCTGAATTCCTGGCGGGCTAAACACCAAACTCAACTGCTGCCTCTCAACGGAGAGGCAACCTCAAAAGTCTGTCATCAGTCTTACCCTGCTTTATCTGTTCTGTCACGGATCCAGATGAGGGCATCCAATGCATGCTTAGCGATTCCGTGAAGGACACTGAACTGGGGGCATCACTAATAGGAAAATAACAACCAAGAGTTTCTAAAGATCTCAAGAGTTAAAAGCATGAGCTCAAATCAAGGAAGAAATTTAATAAACGCGAAATTTTGTCCTCAGCAAGGCCAAGACAGGAGAATTCACGGAGCTCTCAGTAGCACCTCGGGGGAAGGGGGCTTAAGGGTGTCAGCTCAGGGCAAGCGCAAATCAAGTGACCCGTCTAACCAAGCTAGCCAAAAAGAGGCACTAAAGGGGCTGAGACAAGAGGAAGGAAGCACACTTCCTAAAGCTCTCCAGCGCCCAGCACTCGGCAAGAATGGGCGGCACATATCACAACCTCCCAACAACAAAACGAGGCTGGGAAATGGAGACGCGGAAAGTTCCCCGCCCGAGGTCGCACAGCCGTTCTCCAAAGCGGCCAGCGCCCACGACCCTACCGTGTCCTTGGGCAGTGAGAACAGATAGGCGGGGCCCAAAGCCAGTGGCGGCAGCCGCTGCCTCAGACACCGCGTCCACCCTTCACCGGGGCCCTGGAGAGACCGGCAGCGGAGCGGGAGCTACCGAGGCAGCGAGGGCGCGTGCGGAGGGCTCTCGAGAGGAGGCGAAGGCAGCCCGTCTACCGGAGAAGGATCATCCGCGGGAACGCGCGCGAGGTCACAACCCCGAGGCCGGCATGCCGGGCCTGAGGGGCGCCGCCTGACCCTGTCAACCACACTCCCCGACGGCCGGCGCTCTCCCGGGCCGGGAGGGCGCAGGAGCGCCGTGGGGAGGCTCGTCACCGGGCCCCTCGCGCGGACCCCGGCCTCGAGCCTCCAGGTCCGCGGTCTCCCGGGACGGCTAACGGCGCACGCTGCACGCCTCGCCGCCCGGACCCGGGCCTCCACCGACGGCAGACCGCAGGGTCGCGGGGTCGGAGTCAGAGGGCGAGGGGTCGGAGGAGAATCGGGGCCGGGCGGGCGGGGCGGCCACCCCCACAAGCACGCCCCGACCCCGGGCGAGGCCGCTGCCGCCTCCACCCGGGCTGCTCATCCCGGGCGGAAGATGACGGCCCGGACTCACCTGTCACGCCGCCGCCGAGCCCGCCGCCGCACCCTGCCAGCCGGGCCGTGCGCTGCCGCCCGCCGGACCCCAGCCACACGGCGCCCGGGACGGACGCAGAGACGCAGATCACCGAGTCTCCGCCCTGATGCGGCCCCGCCACCCGGCAGCCCGACGCCCCGCACTTCCGGCGCCGGCGGAAGTCCTGGCCTCGCCTCGCCCGCAGGCTGCCGGGAATTCCGTCCCGGCCTCCGGCCCACGACGGCGCCACCGGAAGTTCTGCCCGCGGCCCCCGCTCCGCTCCTGTGATAAACGGAAGTCCTGCCCGGCCTCCGCGCAACGCCCGGGCCGCCGGAAGCCCCGCCTCGGCCTCTGCTGCGCTTCGTCCGCGCCGGCGGGGCCCGGGACACACGGCGAGCCCTTGTCGGTGGTGGCGCGGCGGAGTCGCCACGGCGCTCCTCAGTCCCCGTGACTGCCAGGCCCCGCCCCGCGGGCTCGGCGCTCGTCTGAGGACCCGCGGGGGCCGAGCTGTGGTTCAGGGAGGCGCCGAGGGTGGGGCGCTTGGAGGGAGCCCCGGCCCCGGGTGCTGAGGCAGCCGCCGCGACCCCCAGGACCCGCAGGCGCGGCCGCAGGGTACTCACGGCGGGTCCCGCGGGCCTCCATCGGTCCTAGGACGCGCCGGCTCAGGTCCGGAAGCGGGAGACGCCTGGACTCGAGCCCGCGCACGGCCCCGAGCCGCGGGCCCGTCAGGACCTGCAGGCCTGGCCGCCTGCGAGCGGTGTGGGCCGCGAGCCGCCTTCCCGCGGGTCTGGGAGTGAGGCTTCTGCGCCGGAGCGCTGGAGCTAGAACTATTAATATTTCAGCTTATCTGCAGAAGATGACTCATCCACTTTCCTTTCTGAAGTATTTGCTCACTATTGGCTAAAAAGAAAAAACAAAATCAGCTGCTCACTGCAAAAGGTGGGACTCCAGCGGCCTTCTTGTCTTGGATCTAGGTTGGAAAGAGGACGTCGAGGCTGGAGTCCTCCTGTGAACGACCATTCTCGGCTTTACAGACAACTCCACTGGTTTTTAAAGCTGTCCTAGAGTAAATCAAAAGCAGGGAAGCATTTTTCTTCTATATGGGTCAACATTCTTGCTCCTTCCTTTGAAAAATAAAGCTCAGCTTTCGAATTCAAGAAGCGCTGATTGTTTCCCGAGAAACGAACGTATTTGGGGATCTAAATAACCAAAAAGTATGTAGAATAAAACATGAAGTTATTTCTGCATTAAGTATAATAATAGAAGCTTATCACTAGAAACAATTCTGCAATATGAGCTAAGAATTTCAAATTTTTGGAGGCAGACATTCCAGTAGCAAGTTTATTTAGCGCCTCCCATGCACAAGGCATTCTGCTGGGCATGTGGCAGATAGAAAGCTTTATGAACCACAATATCTTCAACCAACATGCTAAGTCAAAAAGCTAGTATGCAGTGGAGCAAAGATTAGATTAAAACACAGGTGCACATCAAAGCTCACATTCTTTACATGCGTATTCCTTTGACAGGGCTGCTGTAATAAACTCGGTGGCTTAAACAGTAGAAATTTATTGTCTCACAGGTCTGGAAGCTAGAAGTCCACTATCAAGGTGTCATCAGGGTTAGTTCCTTCTGAGAGCTGTGAGGGAGAAGCTATTCCATGCCTCTCTTCTGGTCGTTTGCCAGCCACCTGGCATTCCTTGGTTTGTGGCAACCATAGCTTCAGTCTTCACGTGGCATTCTCCCTGTGTGTGGGTCCCTCATCACCTGGCATTCCTTTCATAAGATCATATTGGAATAAGGGCCCATCCTACTCCACTATGACTTCATCTTAACTACCTCTGCAACAACCCTATTTCCAAATAAGGTCACATCCTGAGGTTCTGTGAGAACTTCAACACATGAATTTTGGGGGACACAATTCAACCCATAACACTGTACCCTGAAATAACTCTCCATTTAATTAAAACACACATACACATCTAGCCTAAATTGTAAGAGGTTGTGATTGCAATCCTGGTATCCAATCACCCTCTCTTGCAGAAGCTGTAGGGAGTCTCCTTCCTGTAAAACAAGTTCCTATATTGTCGCATGTCCATCCATGCAAAATGCACATGATTTACCCCCAACAGGAAGGAAATGAAGCCAAATTTAGTAAGATTCAATTGTCACCATGGATTGGTAGGTACATAAGCTTTGCTGGGTATTCAACTATGTACTCCATCAATGATTATCTTTTCTGTGCCTCAAAACACCTAGATATTTATCCTACAGGGTTATGAGCTGGTTGACATATTGCTTCATAATCATTCTCAACTTGTTTTATATATGAGTGTGTTATATATGATGTATATATATTATAATCCTTTTGTCTTGAGAAACTCCATATTTAGCACTTCATTCAGTTCTCTGCTCAGATATCACCACCTTAGAGATGTCTTCCTTATCACGTATTTTTAAATGGCATAGTCTATCACTATCCCTTAACCGTACTTTATTTTTCTTCATATACTTATCACGTCTTGACATTCTTTGTGTGTTTATTGCTTTACTGTTTCCCCTACTAGAACGTAAACTCTATAAAAAGCAGCAACTTTTTCTATTTTCACTGCTACATTCTCATGACCTAGAAAAGTGCCTGGCACATAGTATGCACTCAAACAATGTTTCCTAAGGGTAATAAATATTTACTTGTCCTCGTGAGTCTATAAACTCCAGAATGGCAGAGGTCACATTTTGTAATTCATTTTACCTACCAAATTTCTCTAGCTTTGTACAAGAAGAGAACTAAGAAAGACACGATCAGCTGGAATGTGAATATAATCACCTGAACAACTACTCCATCTCTTCCTCCTCCTCATACCCACCCTCACTAGGAGAGGAGGAAAATGAATTCATAGTTTCATGGACCAAAGGGTCCGGTCTACACACTGAAGCTTCACCAGCACTGACTTGCTGACCCAAGTCACCTCTTCCTCATCCGTGTCACTGGAACAGGTACTGATTTTCTCACCTCAAAAAACATCACAGTCTGTATTAGGTCCCACCCAGTCCCTACTTGCCATCTTTTCTCTCTCTAATTTTTTGGTGAGGAAGATTGTCCCTGAGCTAACATCTGTTGCCAGTCTTCCTCTTCTTGCTTGAGGAAGATTGTCCCTAAACTAACATCTGTGCCAATTTTCCTCTATTTCGTATATGGGACTCTGCCACAGCCTGGCTTGATCAGCGGTGTGTAGGTCCGCACCGGGATCTCAACCCGCAAACCCTGGGCCGCCGAATTGGACCATGCAGACTTAACCACTATACCACCAGGATGGCCTCTCTCTCTGAGTAGAGCTTGTTGCTTTGTGTACTGCCCACGTGCTAAAAGAAAAAGGACAGCTATCCTCATCTCACAATGAGTGTTTGTTTAGTCTTCCAACTGTTTTTAGAAATATGTTTCGTTCTGGTCTTGAAAAGGAGTTTTCATGATTTTAAATAAAGAAACCAATCTGCATGGTTCTCATTATCATGACACCTAGACTCTTACAAAGTGAGGTAATTATCTGGGGGAAAAAATGTTGGGAAACTCTACTTAATGATCAACCAAACATATACTGTAAGCCTGTTCCAGATGATGTTAGATAACTGTATCTCTGTTGATTAAAAGTACATAGAAATGAAAAATAAAATACTGTGCATAGCTTGATAGTGGTCTCTATGACACGTCATTGATATCCTTTTATTTCATTTTCTTTGTTTATTTTTTGCTGAGGAAGTGTCGCCCTGAGCTAACATCTGTTGCCGATCTTCCTCTTTTTTTTTTTTTTTTGACTGAGGGTGATTAGCCCTGAGCTAAGATCTGTGCTAATATTCCTCTATTTTGTAGTTGGGTCACCACCATAGCACCACCAAGTTCAGTGGTGTAGGTCCTCACCCAGGATATGAACCGAGGAACCCGGGCCACCGAAGTGGAGTGTGCCAAACTTAACCACTATGCCCAGGCCTTTGGCCCCCACTATTTCTTTATCAATACCACATAACTTGTAACCCACAGGCATTTACATTATTCAAAATAATAGTGCCCAGCCATCGAATGAAGTATTTTTATGCATATTTTAGGGAAGAGGAGCTCCAATATATTTAGTAAATAGCCCAAGGTCACAGAGTAGGAGGCTAAGCTGGATCTAACTCCCAACTCTTCTCTATTTGTTAATATTAACCATATGGAAACCAAATACTCAAATAGCTCTGGAGTGAACTTTGCTAAAAAGCAGACCATCTTAAAACCAAACAACTATGGGAATCTGAATCACATAAATACGCCTGAGTATACATGACGGACTCCTTCTGTTGTGCATTCTGAATTCTGCATTTCTCCATATCTATCAAGATTTTATACAAAGATTTCCTGATAGGGACATCATTGTCCCCAATCTGATGTCAACATTTTGCATAACTTGGAATCTTCAAAGTAGAGTGTTGGAACGCAAATACTGTAGTATGTTAGTAAGTCCAGGAGGATTGGTCACATAATTAATTATATTATAAATGAGAACATTAAAAAAATGTAGTCAGTCATCTCTAAACTTCAGTTTCTTCATATAAATGAGGATAACATTTACTATGTAGAATTAGTGTAAGGATAAAATGAAATAATATATGTAAAAAGCTCCTAGCACAGTATCTAATGCAGGCAAATTTAAACTGGAAGGGAACTTAAATAGCATCTAACCTTTCTCCTATTACAGATGAAAGTAATGAGGGCACTAATCCTAGTCCAACATTACTCAGCAACAAGTAGCCAAGTCCAGATAGGAACTAAGGTCTTCTAAGTTCAATGGGCTTTCCACTACACCAGCAGTTCTCAAAGACTGGCCAGAGACCCCTGGGGTTCCTGAGTCCCTTTCAGGGACTCCATGAGGTCAAAATTAATAGTACTACTACGATGTTAGTTGTCTTTTTCACTCTCATTCTCTCATGAGTGTACAATGGAATTTTCCCAGAGACTACATGATGTACAATGATATCAATCTCTGAACGCTAATGGAATGTGCTTGTGTATTATTATGTCTTCTAGAATTTTTTAAGGTAGTAGATCCAGGGCTGTGGTTCTCACAGTGTGGTCCTCAGATCCCTGGGGGTTTCTGAGAATCTTTTTTTTTTTTTTTTTTTGTGAGGAAGATCAGCCCTGAGCTAAAATCCATGCCAATCCTCCTCTTTTTGCTGAGGACCGGCCCTGAGCTAACATCTATTGCCAATCCTTCTCCTTTTTTTCCCCCTTTTTCTCCCCAAAGCTCCAGTAGATAGTTGTATGTTGTAGTTGCACATCCTACTAGTTGCTGTATGTGGGACACCGCCTCAGCATGGCCAGGCAAGCGGTGCATCGGTGTGCCCCCAGGGTTCCAAACCCGGGGCCACCAGTAGCAGAGGGCGCGCACTTAACAGATAAGCCGGGGGGCTGGCCCGCACTGAGAATCTTTTAAGAAGTCTGTCACATCAAAATCATTTTCATAATAATACTAGAATGTTATTGGCCTTCACTGTGTTGATATTTGCACTGATGGTGCAAAAGCAAGCTTGGGGGGCAGGAAGGATGGATGGGAGGATAAAACTGCTGGTACTTTGTCACTAACCAAGGCAGTGCCACCAAATTGTACTAGTAGTCACTGTATTCTTCACCACCATGCACTTGCATTAAAAAGTAAAACATCAGTTTCACTTAGTGTCCTTGATGAAGCAGTAAAAATATTAATTTTAATAATCTTAACTCTTCAGTATTTATCTTTTTAATACTGTGTACAACACGGGAAGTACACATTAAGCACTTCTGCTACATACTGAATTACGATGGTTGTGTTAAGGAAAAGCACTTGTGAAAATGTATCAGTTGCATGCTGAACTAACTTTTTTCATAGAACACTATATTCACTGGAACGAATGACTGACAAATTAAGGTTATTCAAACCCGGGTATTTGGCAGACATTTTCTCAAAAATAAACTAAGTGAGCCTGACACTACAAAGAAAGTAACTGACCGTATTTGTTGCCAATAATAGAATTTGAATAATCATGCAAAAATCTGAATTTTAAAAAACTTGTATCCGCCACCAAGAGCTTGACAGCTTATCAATACTTAACGACTTTTCTGAGGACATCAGGGGTGATATTAACAAATGTGATTGATGCTTAATAATGAAATGTGTGAACATACGGAAGATTTGTTTAATTTAGTGAAGCAGTATTTTTCAAGTGATCAATGCCTGATATTACAAAATCATATACGGGAAAATATGCATTTAAGTTGCAGTCAAAACCAATGAATTTTAATATAACAGAATATGAAATGTTCATTGATGTGGTTTCAGATTCCAAACAGCATATAACCTTTAAAAACCCACCACTTGTGGTGTTTTGGTGTAGTATCAAAAAAGAATAACCATGATCAGCTGAAAAGCCTAATAAAATACTTCTCAATTTTTATTAGTAAATAGGGGTAGATACAAACAACAATAAGCAAAAGCTCTTTAAGGTCCTCACTGAATTTTAAGATTGTAAAAGTGTCCTAAGACAAAAAGTTTGAGAACTGCTACACTACGCTCTGCTTAGCTAATTAACAGGCAGAAGAGGAGGAAATACCCCAACCTTATCTGAGCTACATATACATTTTATAGTTATTTAAACACAAAAATAATTTCACATATATTTTGAATTAAGATATTCCTAATATATACCGTTGCTTATTCAATTTATCTGACAAAGTAAATACCACCTGATGGCAAATTTAATTATTTTAATAATTTCAAAAATATAACATTTTTTAAAATTAAAAAATTAACAAGTTTTAATTAATGCTATCCAAGTACAGATGGTTCCTTAAACCTCCCCTAACTCAATCAGCTTTGCAAAACCGTTGTTCTTGGCAAAGTCACTGCTTGAGAATGTATAGAACTTTCTCACTGGAGACAAACTCTTCAAAGATCCCAAATGATGTACCGTGCGCGTGAGTCCGACTCCACCTTCTACGCCCGTCGTCAGCGAGCAGAAAATCTTAACCGGAGCGAAATCCTAACGCTCAGCGGCCTAACGGGAGAGCATTTCTAACGCTCAGCATCCAACCTTAGCTTAGCGCGCAGGCCCCGCGGCGCAGACGCCCCCCAGCGCCTCAGAGAGCGAGTGACATCTGACGCTCGCACGTCCTCTGCGTAGCCCTTCGGACGCGCCGACTGGCTGACGCGGCTAGGAGCGAGGGCGCGACTGGCGGGCGGCTGCTCGTCCCACCACCCCCCGCGTCTTCAGGCGCCCTCCTTCAGGCCGCTCCTCAGTGGACGGGCCTCCCCTCAGCCGCAAAAGGAGCACCTGCGTCTTGGCCTCTGGGGGCCCCGCGGCCTGGGGCCCGGGTTGGCGGCCCTGCGAGCGCAGGGTGTGGCGCCACCGCGTGACCGTGACGTCAGGCGCGGGCCGGCGCGCGATTGGCCGACGAGCATGTGGCGCGCTCTGGCGCGGGCGTGGGCGGTTGGGCGATCGGCGCCGGGGGGCGGGGCCGGGGGGCGGGGCCAGCGTGAGGGGCGGAGGGCCGGCGCTCAAGTAAGCGAGTCCGCGGCGGCGCGGGAGCGCGCGGATAGCCGTCGTCTGAGGTATGGAGCCTGGCGTGGTGCCGTGGGGCGGCCACGGCGGAGGGCATGGGTGCCGGGCCGCGTCATGGGGAACGGAGAGACGGTGGTTGGGGAGTGGGCGAGCAGTTAGCTGGGGAGACGGAGCAGGACGGGCTCTGAGGCAGCTGCGGGAGCAGGGTGAGTGTCCGAGCGCAGGATCTGGCCCGCAGAGTCAGCGGGGGCGCTGAGGGGCAGCGGCCCTGAGCCCGAGGGGAGGCGGCGCGGGGCCGGCGGGCTTCCTCTCCGTGCGTCCCCGGGACGCGGGCGCTGTCCCTCACGTCCCCCCCTCCCCCGCAGCGTCCTAGGACGGACGGGACGCGCCGCAGCGATGCCCGAGATAGACACCGACCAGCTCGACAGGCAGCAGGTGCAGCTCCTGGCGGAGATGTGTATTCTCATTGACGAAAATGACCACCAAATTGGGGCAGAGACCAAAAAGAACTGTCACCTGAACGAAAACATCAAGACAGGTATTGTTTGCAAGGATCGTGCTAGCAAGTGAGGCGCTTCCGGCGGCTGAGGAGAGCGCCCTGGAGAGCAGAGGAGAGGCGGCTTCTCCCCGAGTCCTGCCGTCTCCTGGCTTCCCGTCGGTGGAGTGGTGTCCGAGTCCGTCCACCCTGCTGCTGCCTCCGCGTGGGGGCTGTTCCTCTCCGCTTCGTGTCTCGCTCGGCGTCTCCGGGGGGCGGGGGGTTCTGGCTTTGTGCAGGAGGGGGTGGGCTCATCTAGGGGGTGGCGCCGGTCACTCCCCGAGGGACGGAGACGCCTGCGGTCCCCGCCCCCTCAGGAGCAGGCTCACCGGGCCCAAGCGGGTATCCCCGAGGGGGCGGTCGGCGTAGCAGAGCCGGCCGACAGCAGCGTTTCTTGCACTTGGTGGCGGACCTTCTGGCTGGGGTGCCCGAGCTCGTCTCCATCACAGCCATGCACAGACTCGCTCAGTAGACGACGACGGAGAGAAACAAAAATGGCAGCCAGTTACTAATATTCTGGACCCCAAGTAGAGAATCGGGCAAATAACGGTCAAAACTAAACTAATCGTATATGTTTTGCTTTCAGGATTATTGCATCGAGCTTTTAGTGTCTTCTTATTCAACACTGAAAATAAGCTCCTGCTACAACAGAGGTCAGATGCTAAAATTACCTTTCCAGGTTAGTGTGCTTAATATACAGTATTTTCTTGGGACCTGTAGTTAATTTGACTGCCACGTGGAACTTCCTGGTAGCCAGGATCAAAAAGGGAAATCCTGTGAATACCATAATTTCATATTCTACATAAAAGAAGCTTATACAATGAGTGCAACCTAATAAAACAGCAGTAAAGGATAAGAACTGCTAGGTGTGTATATATACACATATATTTATAATTTTTTAAAAATCTGTGTCTTATACACATTTTGATCTTTTTGGTTAGAAAGGCATTAATAAAGAACTTATCTACACATGTCTTTCACAAGATAATTACAGACGGCCGTTGTAATTGATTTAGAAATCCTCAAGTATCATTTTGTTTATTTTTCTGTTACTTTTAAAACTTTAAAAAAAAAAACCTGATCTTTAGACCTCCTTTGAAGAAAAATTAATCTCTGTGTATATTAACACGTTCCAGGTTGTTTTACCAATACTTGTTGTAGTCATCCATTAAGTAATCCAAGAGAGCGTGAAGAAAATGATGCAATTGGAGTAAGACGAGCAGCACAGAGGCGTTTAAAGGCTGAGTTAGGAATTCCCATGGAAGAGGTAACCTGCACAACCATACAAACTGAAATCTTGTTTAGATATCTAAACATACATTAAAACTTTTTTGTTTGTTTTTGTGAGGAAGATCAGCCCTGTGCTAACATCTACCAATCCTCCTCTTTTGCTGAGGTAGACTGGCCCTGGGCTAACATCCATGCCCATCTTCCTCCACTTTACATGGGACCCCGCCACAGCATGGCCTGACAAGCGGTGCGGCTGGTGCGCGCCTGGGATCCGAATCCCGGGCCGCCAGCAGCAGAGCGAGTGCACTTAACCTCTGCGCCACAGGCTGGCCCCGTTAAAATGTTTTTAATAAAGTTTTAAATTCAGCTATAGGTCTCTGCTTTGTAACCTCTTGAGTTATTAGCCCCAGAAAGCACCTTGAATAAAGATTATTTAAACTTTTATTTCTTAATATTAAATGTCAGAATTTGGTCAGTGCTAAAGTAGATTGATCTGTTAACCAGTATATAAAGTAGACTATTTTTATAATTGATCAGATCAAAGATGAATATTTTCTTGTGGAATACCTTACGAATATTAACTACAAATCTGATTGGGTGAATTGAAATAATCTTTTTTTTTTTCCTCCCCTGGTATTGTCCCCTTTAAATAAGACCCGAATGAATAAAGTATCTCTCATCTTGTTAAAATGGTAAAATTTTTTTCTCCCAAAAAGTAATATTAAAATATGAAGGAGATAGTAATATTAAATCAAATTACTTAATGTTACTCAAAGTGTAATATTAAGATATGAAGTCACGCTTCTAGTTTGAGTGACTGCTTTTTTAAAAAATATAATGAATAAAGTCAAATTATTTTTGGTCCTATGGAAAAAAAGTTCAGACACTTGAAACTATGTAATAATGATTTCTGTGTATCATCAATAGGAGATTAATATTTTAAAAGTTCTAATTCTAAAACTATAGTTCTGTTGTTCAAGATGTTACTGAAATGTGGTGGGTTAATTTAGATTACTTATTTTGTTGTTGATGTTTTTGTTTTATTTTCCTCCTAGGTTCCTCCAGAAGAGATTAATTATCTAACACGAATTCACTACAAGGCTCAATCTGATGGTATCTGGGGAGAACATGAAATTGACTATATTTTGTTTGTGAGGAAGAATGTAACTTTGAATCCAGATCCCAATGAGATTAAAAGTTATTGTTACGTGTCAAAGGAAGAACTTGAAGAACTTCTGGAAAAGGCAGCCAGTGGTGAAATTAGGATAACTCCATGGTTTAAAATTATTGCAGAGACTTTTCTCTTTAAATGGTGGGATAACTTAAATCATTTGAATCAGTTTGTTGACCATGAGAAAATACATAGAATGTGAATGTGGAGATAAATGATTAGTAAAGTACTGAAAAATTTCTGTACTTAGTAAACTTAAAAAGATTTTTTTTACTTTGGTTCCCCATTAGGAGAACTCTCGTTTGAAACATGGATACTTTACAACTAGTATTTGTGTGGAAAATACAACCAACTTCTTAATTTTGTATCACATAACCTGTATGTGTGCACTGCTATTTGTAAAAGACATTTAGGAGAGGTTAATGTAAAAGAGAGAGCAAAAAAACTTAATTTAACCTGTCTAAACTTATGGGCCTGACAAATTTGAACAAATAAGTGAAGCTCTTCGTTTTTGATATGTTGTGATAAACATTTTCAGAACACTTGTGGAGCACTCTGCTCTTTCCAGGCTCTTTGCGCTTTGCTTTATATATCATTAAATTTTTATCATAGTCTAGAAAAATGTGCAATGGAAACTATCTGCTTAGCTACTTTGAAACAATCTATATTACCTTTCCATATTGACAGATTAAACTAGTAGAGCAGGTTCAAGGGATCTTAAGTGGTATATATCCTGATTTCTATCATTCTAAGTTGGTTTTGTGGTTTAGTCATTCTGGAAGTATCATTTTGATACTTAAAGTCAGACATTGCTTTTGGTAATGATATTGGTAGATTCAGTCTTTTAAACAGTCTTTGTGAATTAGCAAAGTCTGTGTTTTCAGAATTACAGTGGACAGGCAGACTAGTTGTAAAATGAAAATTGAGTTGACTGGGTCATACTCTACAACAGGGTTTCTTAACCTTGGCACTGTTGCCATTTGGGCTGGATAATTCTTTGTTGTTGGGGTTCATCCTGTGCATTGCAGGATGTTTAGCAGCATCCCTGGGTTCTACCGCCTGAATGCCATTAGCACCCAGAGAGCTCCCCCATGACAGCTACAATGACACCAGATGCCAAATGTCTCCTGGAGGGCACGATCACCCCCATTTGAGAACCTCTGTTCTACAAAGTCAGGCCATATTGTAGGGGGAAAAAATTAACAGAAAGGCTAATTCATGTTAAATAGATTTGAGTTATGGAATATGTGTATATTAATATTTAAATTGTACCTTGACTAATGCACTTTTTAAAACTCTTGCCATAGATAGATTTCTCAGATTTGATGTCTTAAGACAGCGATGTTATCCTTGAATGCTGTATGATAATAAATAATGAAGAAAAAGATAAAAATTGTTTTTTCCAAACTAAATATTTTATAAATTCAATAGAAAAGTCCCTTTCTTGTTAACCCTGAGCAATTAATTTATAATTTCTGGCAAGACTGTAGCAAGTATTAATTTTATTGAAAAGTAAAAATTAAAAAAAAATTACCACATTTTAATAGTGTTGTCCAGTTTGTTAAAATTTTAATATGATAATAAGTTAACCTGGCTATGGTAGCTTAAACATTATGAATCCCATATAACTTCAAAATGCATTTATAATGTTATTTCTAGTTCATTAGTTTTCTTTTCTAGAAAGTCTTAGGCTGAAAGCCACACATAACTAGTTACTCAGTAGCTACAGTGGCTCGTGGTTGCCATATGGGACAGTGAAGCCTTAGACCACTACCTGGCACTTTGCAAGTACTCAGCAAGTGTTAGATATTACTCTTATATTACTAGAATGCCCCTCCAAAACATGTAAGTATGAATGTTGTTTGACATGATGAACTCTTTAGGACTCCATCTTTTTAAAGCCAATTGAGACTTGAAAAAATTTTTATCTTAAACTATTTAAAATTCATAATCTCTTGGGGGCTTGCCTGGTGGCTTCGCTTTGGCGGCCCTGGTTTTGCAGGTTCGGATCCTGGGCATGGCCCTGTGTACTGCTTGTCAGGCCTTGCTGTTGCAGGCATCCCACATATAAAGTAGAGGAAGATGGGCGTGGATGTTAGCCCAGGGCCAACCTTACTCAGCAAAAAGAGGATTGGCAACAGATGTTAGCTCAGAGCTAGTCTTCAGCACCAAAAAAAAAAATTCATAGTCTCCAAAGTATATAACTGTTTGATGCCGGGCAAACCATTGGCATCTCTTAAGGCCCAGGGGTTGCCTTCTATTAAAATCTAGATTACGCAGAGAACAAGAGCAAAGGAAGAGATTGTGGGAGGAAGGAGAGCATGTTATTTTCTTACTTGGCCCTAGCCGATGAGGAGAGGTATAGATGAAAGGACAAGTGAAGTAGCTCTCTGAAGCTCAGAGGCATGTTAGCAGGTCACTGGAGTGTGCCTCAGATATTCTCAGGTGGAAGTTGTCTTTCCCTCTGCTCCCTGGTGGACACTTGCTTGATGGTTCCATTCCTTCAGATGGGTGGGCCCTTTATTTTAGATCCTTCCCAGGGTTGAAGATCCCTCTTCCTGTGTAAGTTTGTGGATGATCACACTCATCTTCTGTTACCCTGGATCCCTTCTCTTGACAGAGGGGGTGTATTTTAGTATTTCGACATACCTCATCCTCACTCAACCTGGTGTTTTTTCAGCCGTAAACCTGTACTTGTCCTTCTCACACATTTTACAGAGTGAACTTGAGTGTGTATTTGTGCACATTTAAATATCCTGACAAATAATTTTCTACTTTACAATTTACATACTTATCTATCATCTACATGCTTTAGACTCCCAAATTTAAATCTCCACAGAATTCTGTTTTGTATTCATATAGCCAGCTGTCCATATGACAACTATACTCATATATTTAAATAGGTGAACCCATACTTGGGTTCAAAACCAAGTCCTGACGTGTTCCCCTACCGGCCTGTCCATATCTTCCTCATCACAGCTCACGGCAACTCCATTCTTCTGTTGCTCAGGCTAAACACTTTGGAGTCACTTATTCCCTTCCCTCTCACACCTTATATCCATTAGTCAGTAAATCCTTTGAATAAGCCCAGAATTTCACTGTCCTTCTCCACGTTTCCTACTACTTGGAATCCAGATGATCCCTGGGTTGCCTCCTGACTGGTGGCCTGCTTCCACATTTTCCTCTCAATATCTCTTCTCAACGCAGCAGCTGGAGTGATTGTATCATTTCACTCCTCTGCTCCGAATGCACCAGAAGAAACACCCTCCAGTAGCCTACCAGGCCCCAAAGATGTGCTCAGCACCTCTGATCTCATTTACCCAATTGCTTGCTCTCTGCAGCCTCCGAGTCTCCCTTACTGTTCCTTGAGCCCACCAGGCATGCTCCCACCAAGTCCTTAAACTGTTCCTTCTTCCTAGAAAATTCTTTTTCTAGATACATCTATGACTCACTCTCACTTTTTTCAAGACTCCTCGATATTAACCACTTCATTGAAGCCTAATTTGACTAGTCTGTGAGCCATTTCTCCCATACGTCACCCTCCTTTCCTGGTTTCTTTTTCTATATTTCTTAACACCTTCTAATATAGCATGTAATTTATTTACCGTGAGTACCACCAGGATGAGTTCCATAAGGGCAGGATTTTGTTATTTCTTCCAACTTTTTATTTTGAAAACTTTCAAACCTACAGAAAAATTGCAAGGACAGTACACTGAGCACCCATATACCTTTGACATAGATTGATGGATTGTGAACAGTTTTCCACACACATATGTGCTGAAATATTTACAATCTATTGCACACTTAATGACAGTTCACCCTCTATACTTTAGCTTATATTTCCTGAGGGTGTTCTACATTGCCACAATATAATTATCACAAAAAGGAAATTTAACACATAACAATGCTTTCATCTAAAATACAGTTCATATTTAAATTTCCCCAATTTTCTCAATAATGACTTTTACAAATTTTCTCTTACTGCCCCCCCTCCCCCAACCCCCTCTAATCCAGGAGTCAGTCAAGGATCACACCTGCATTGGTCATGACTCCAGTTTCTTAATCTACAATAGTTCCCAGCCTCAGCCTCTTTTTGTCTTTCATGTCTCTGACTTTTTTAAGATTCCACACCAGTTATTTTACAAAATGCTCCCAATTTTGATTTATCATATTGTTTCCCATGATTAGATTCAGATAAAACATTTTTGGCAAGAACATTACATAAGTAACATTGTGTCCTCATGCCATCACATCTGGGGGTATATAATGACAAAATTGGTGATTTAAGTCAGATCCCTTAGGATATATTCGCCAGGTTTCTCTATGATAAAGATGTTTTTTCTTCTTTGTGATTAATAAGGAACTGTGGAGTGACATTTTGAAATTGTGTGAAAATCCTGTTTCCTAATGATATTTTATCTAAGAATTTTAACATTCATTGATGATTCTTACTAAATCAGTAATTATGATGGTGACTGTAAATGGTAATTTAAAAAATTTTCCTATCTTTTTTCTACATTGATTAGTTTACATTCTTCTTTAAAGAAAAGCTTTTTCCCTACTTTGATTTATTCATTTAAATATCAGTATGAATTCAGGCACACTTTTAAAAATTGTTACAATTCATTCCCATCATTATTCCTTTTGACGCTCAAACTGTTCCAAATTGGCCAGAGGGTGCCTATTCAAGCCACCCCCATGTCCTTTGTTCTTTCTCCTTCAGTTTTAGATCACATCCTTGATTTCAGGCACAGTTAGATGTTTCAGGCTCACTTCTTATACTTTCCATGCTCCAGTCCTGGAATCAGCTGTTTTTATAAAGTGGAGAGCAGAGATTTAAATCACACACACACATGCATACAAACATGCACATAAACATGTGTGCACACACACACACATTTGTTATTACCCAAAAAGGGGGTTCATCTGCCCACCACAAGACATGCCAACAGTCAAGAAGCAAGGTAGTAGGAGAGAAAAGATTTTTTTTTATTACAGCTTGCAAGCAAGAGGGTAGATGGCTGACTAATGTCTGAGGAAAAAAACCATCTTAAGGGGGTAAAAGATATGACAGCAGTTATATAGGCTGGTGGGTTACAGGGGAGGGGGTTAGGAATGTTGACCTTCTGGTGTTACAGGCTGGGAGTCGCCACACCAGATCTTTCAGTTTTCATTGATGATGGCTATCAGCATAGACTCTCTGTTTGGGGGTCATCACATTCCCAAGGAATTCAAAAGAACAAAGTTATCATCTTGTCACAGCTAGGAGGTATATGCATAAGCAGGGGTCGTAAAATCTACAGAGCAGTTAGATCTCCTGGAGGGGGCATATCCAGCTGGGTTACTTAGTCAGAGGTCATTCAAAATTACAATAGGGTTTCTTTCCTACAATATGGCTTCGCTCATGTCAGCCTTGTGTTGAGCCGGTATCAGTTCCCCCTTTTTGTTGTTCAATCCCTCAATCTTGAGGGACATCCTGTTGATGATGGGCATAGGATGTTCCATCTCATTGAACCAGTCTCTTAGTAAGACAGTGATGCAGGTGGGTTCCCCAAGTTAGGCATATATTGTGTAAGTAAATAACCAGGTATTTAATAAGACAAAAAGAAAAACAAAGTTAATAGTGGGTGCAAATTATAAACCAGTTTCTGGGTCCAGGGAACAGTCAGTCAAGAAGATTTCTAGATGTCAGTGCCAAAGCATCTTTTGCAGCTTAAAATGTCTCTGATGATGTCATCGAGTGTTTAGGCATCCTTTCTGAGTGGCTTACCTAGCAACAGATATGAATCTCTCTTAAGTTTATATCACGTCCACCAGCTTCAGTTTGTAAGGCTTCAGGAAAAAGGGCAGATTAGTTCTCAGTAATTCCAAATGAGAATGATGGAAAAAAAATTGAAAACGTTAGTTTGGAGATTTGTAGCCAGACATTTCAGGAGACTAGAAGAATTCAGGATCCAGTCCAGTTAACAAATATAACAAAAACCTCAAAGACAATTAACAGAATCAGAATTCAGCATCTACAAAAAGGTATTATAGTTTCTATTGAAACATAATTTTTCTCTCTAAAATCACCTTCATTTTTACCAAAGATAGCCACATTAAGATTAACTGGTTTGCAAAATAAGTCTAGTTTCAATAAAACTTGATTTGGTTATTTACATAAGTGTAGCAAGACTAGCAACTGATCATACAGGCTCTTTTAAATCTGCTTTGGAGGAACTCTTTATAAGGAATCTCAGATTGAACTTTGAAGGCCTCTTGAGGCCATGAAAGCCAAGCGAAGGACTTTGTCATCAGACTTGCCTGTAATACCTATAGATTTGGGTGATTCCTCTCTTCTTTTGAGGTTCCCCAAAATATTGAGGTTCCAGGCACCTGCCAGATAAGTGACCTTTCTTACTCATCCTGGTAAAATTGCTTGGAACTTCTGTAAACAAGGTATCAGGAAAATATTTCCAAGTGGCTTTATTCCAGAAAGTCAACCTTTATTCCTCAAAAGCTGTCTTGTCATATCTGAGTCTGTATGTTTTTCATAAATATGATATTCCAGTCAAAGCTTTTGTAATATAATCAATGTTTCCAATTGTGTCCTGTTATAAGGAGAACAGATTCTTATTGAACTTACACAAATAACTATAAAGCCATGAAAACAATACTCACTCACTAAGATTTTACAAATTCTGGAGGGATCAGGTAGGGAGAAAAAAAACAAATGTTTCAATTCTGCTTACAATGGTATAACTTACCAAATTGCTATAAGTCATAGTTAGCTTGAGAGGAAAGGGAAAATGTTTCTTAAATCTGGAAAAAAACAAAACATCAAAAAATCAGCAATATTTCAAAAAAGTCATAAAAATTGTAATCATTCTCATCAGTTCATTCAGTCCAGTGTAACCAATTCTTGATCTTA